AAATCCTGAGCAGCTTCATTTCGGACCTGCGTCTCTAGATGATTCCATCTCAAGCTATCACATGCTTCTCTATTGAAATCCACTGCCCATTTTGTTACAAGCTTAACACCATAGTTCGCAGCTCCAAGACATAAACCAGTGGACATCGCACCACAGCCAGAATACATAAACCAGTGGACATCGCACCACAGTGTCCTTAGCTCGGTAGAACCATTGAGCGGTGAAATAACGCATTCCATCTAAATCTTCAAACATCTCAATGATTTTACAAATATAATTGTCTTTACCTTCCTCACCATTAACATAAGCATCATCATAAAGATTATAAAGCTCTCCATCCACTTTTACCATCGAGAAATGGCGTTTAGCCATTCTTGTATCTACATGCTGCTTCTAGTTGTTTGTTCTTGGGATCCTCCAATGGATTTTCACTATTCCTAAAACGACTGAAGCCGCTTATTCCTTGGCAAGGTGGGCCACCACATACGACATCAACACTCCCTGGCAAAGGCAGTATACTTGCTTAAACCCATTCTCAATGAACTCCTTCATTTTCTGCTCACAACCACTCAGACCCACAATGGGTTCCCATGTGTCATCAGCTTCGCCATAACCTTTCCAATGTATCTTGAAGTGCAATCCAGACTTTCAAGTTTTCTTTGGATCCCCAAAGCAATTTTCTAATACTTGTTCAACTTCATATACTTCATTGTCTGTATCACTTGTAGTCCCTTCTTCTTCTTCTTCTTCATTACAAATATTCAAGCAAGGATGTGGTGCTGAGTTGTTTGTTATCAGAGAGCAAGAGACACAAAGGTGTTCCCATTCCTTGAAAAGGCACAAAAAATCCTGAGCAGCTTCATTTCGGACCTGCGTCGCTGGATGATTCCATCTCAAGCTATCACATGCTTCTCTATTGAAATCCACTGCCCATTTGTTACAAGCTTAACACCATAGTTCGCAGCTCCAAGACATAAACCAGTGGACATCGCACCACAGCCAGAATACAAATCAAGGAGGGTGTTTTCGTATACATGTTCTTTTATTTCTGCGGTGCTACTTTCACTAGACATAATTGAATCCAATTCTCTGACAGCTTCAGCATGTGGAAAGCTTATAAATGTTGAATAAGGTACATGATACATCATATCAATATAAAAGTCGCACTCAAGTGGGATCCTTTCTATAGACTTGATATTCTCATTGGGAGGAAAGCAAACTATATTCAACTTTCGAACAAGGCAATCGATGAGATTATCATCCTTAACTTCGGATAAGAAAACACGCTTGCTCTCAATGAACTTGTCAAGTGATTTAATAACAGTGTCCTTAGCTCGGTAGAACCATTGAGCCATGAAATAACGCATTCCAAATAAATCCTCAAACATCTCAACGATTTTACAAATATAATTGTCTTTACCTTCCTCACCATTAACATAAGCATCATCATGAAGATTATAAAGCTCTCCATCCACTTTTACCATAGAGAAATGGCGTTTAGCCATTCTTGTATCTACATGCTGCTTCTAGTTGTTTGTTCTTGGGATTCTCCAATGGATTTTCACTATTCCTAAAACAATTGAAGCCGCTTATTCCTTGGCAAGGTGGGCCACCACATACGACATCAACACTCCCTGGCAAAGGCAAAATACTTGCTTTAAACCCATTCTCAATGAACTCCTTCATTTTCTGCTCACAACCACTCAGACCCTCAATGCGTTCCCATGTGTCATCAGCTTCGCCATAACCTTTCCAACGTATCTTGAAGTGCAATCCAGACTTTCCAGTTTTCTTTGGATCCCCAAAGAAATTTTCTAATACTTGTTCAACTTCATATACTTCATTGTCTGTATCACTTGTAGTCCCTTCTTCTTCTTCTTCTTCATTACAAATATTCAAGCAAGGATGTGGTGCTGAGTTTTTTGTTATCACAGAGCAAGAGACACAAAGGTGTTCCCATTCCTTGAAAAGGCACAAAAAATCCTGAGCAGCTTCATTTCGGACCTGCGTCTCTGGATGATTCCATCTCAAGCTATCACATGCTTCTCTATTGAAATCCACTGCCCATTTTGTTACAAGCTTAACACCATAGTTCGCAGCTCCAAGACATAAACCAGTGGACATCGCACCACAGCCAGAATACA